CTTCAAGCTTTTAAAATATTCCTACATATGTGGTCGGGGGCTTGTTTCTCTTGAAGGATGACAGTGAGAATCAGTCCTTACTGTTGGAAAGCTGGAAAAGGATGTTCAGGATGGGGCATGGACTCCATTGCTGAGAAGAGCCCATACCATGAGCCTCAGCTCCGTGGTGGCCTAGGGATTAGAAGGAGAGATGGTGATGAGTTGGGGGAACTGAGCTTTGTTACTGAAGCTACTGCCCAGGGTTAACACATCTGTGCTCTTCTGTGTCCATCCAGATTGTGTTCCGGAAGATCAGTGATGTGAAACGGGAAGAGGAAGAGAGGATGAAACGGAAGAATGAGGCCCCCCTGATCTTGCCCCCAGATCACCCTGTCCGGCGACTCTTCCAGAGGTTCCGACAGCAGAAAGAGGCTAGGCTAGCTGCAGAAAGAGGGGGCCGGGACCTGGACGACCTGGACGTGGAGAAGGGTAATGTCCTTACAGAGCACTCCTCGGCTAACCACAGCATTGTGAAGGCCAGCATCATCACTGTCCGGGAGAGCCCTGCCACTCCCGTCTCCTTCCAGCCAGCCTCTACCTCTGGGGTGCCTGACCATGCCAAGCTGCACGCACCAGGGTCAGAGTGCCTGGGCCCTAAGGCGGGAGGGGGCGACTGTGCCAAACGCAAAGGTTGGGCCCGCTTCAAAGATGCTTGTGGGAAGGGCGAGGACTGGAACAAGGTCTCCAAGGCTGAGTCTATGGAGACGCTCCCTGAGAGGACAAAGGCTTCATCAGGGGAGGCCACACTGAAGAAGACAGACTCCTGTGACAGCGGCATTACCAAGAGCGACTTGCGTCTGGACAATGTTGGCGAGGCCAGGAGTCCCCAGGACCGGAGTCCCATCTTGGCAGAGGTCAAGCATTCTTTCTACCCCATCCCTGAGCAGACACTGCAAGCCATGGTCCTGGAGGTGAAACATGAGCTGAAGGAGGACATCAAGGCCCTGAACACCAAAATGACAAACATTGAGAAACAGCTCTCTGAGATACTCAGGATATTAACTTCGAGAAGGTCCTCTCAGTCTCCTCAGGAGCTGTTTGAGATATCAAGACCTCAGTCCCCAGAGTCAGAAAGAGATGTTTTTGGAGCAAGCTGAGAGGTCTTTAAAAATAAATAAATAAAAGACAGAAACCTACAACCCTGCTCTAGACATTGCCCTACCACATCCCCCACAAGGCCAACCATTTTTCCAAGTAGTCTTTTGCTGACAAGAAATCAATGTGGGAAGAGTCGCTTGGGCATGTTCGCTGTCTCCTCTCTCTCTTTCTGGAAGAAGATATGGGAAGAGAGGGTGCCACCTCCCTACAAGACAGCAAACTGCATCAGTACTCTGTTTGCACAATTTTGGAAGAGGGGGCAAGCTGTCTAAAGGGTATTGTCCTTCATTTTTAAATTTTTTACTACCATGGTATTTGTAAAAGATAAAAACTACCAGAGAAGAGCAGCCATTTTGGGTATTGTTGGGAAGGCGCCAGAGAACCCTTCATGTACATACCATGGTAGGCACCTTCACCAAGAGCCCCAAAGACTGCGGTGCACAGGGATTTCCCAGCATCCCCTGACCTTGTACAGTTGTGTTTGACACCACCATATATTTTCCTACAGTAGTCATTTGTAAGATGTTCAGGACATGGGGAACTCGAGGGGCAGGGAGGGAAGAGTCCTTTCAGCTCTCTGTCTCTAAAAGTTAAGGCCAAAAAGCAGCTGCAGGTGTTGTGGGTGCCTTTTACAGACACTTAGAGCTGGGAACCCTCTGGTGTCCCTGAGCCAAAAGAGGTGAGCCACATGCAAGAGCCGCAGAGGAGCCTTGTCAGCCCAGGGGCTCTCCTTTCTGTGCTCAGAAGGCAGCTCCCATGGGGCAGTTCCAGGGAGGGCTCTGAGACCCCTGATGAACTTCTGGCCTTACTTCGCAGACCCTTCTGGCTTCTTCTCCTCTTCCCCCACCTCTTCTCCAGGGTTCCGTGGCATTCCTCAGGGTGTGGAGCTTCGGCTGGAATCGGTCATGAACCCAGAGTTGCTTTATAAACAAACACACACACAACCTCAGAAGAAGAAGAAGATTGTAGCGAGTGCTCTATTTATATTATGATTCTCCTTGGAATTGCCCTTCAGAAGCTTGTATTTTGTCCACAGCACTGGGTCACTAGAGGACACTCAGAAGCCACGCTTGGCCTTATTTTAAGACAACGTCTTTATCTCCTACTAGAGTCAGTAGGACTTCAAGAGAAAGCGAGATTGTGCTTTATTCAGGAGCCAGAAGAAGAGAAGGAAGCCACAGGTCTTCTTTGTGTCTCAGTGAAGTGGTGGAGAGCAGATGCTGAGGAGCTATAGTCCTCAGGGAAGGTTTGAGCTCAGTGATGGCTGTGGAGTCTCCTGTGGGTCATCCAAGTCTCCATGCTCCCACGCTGGAGCACTCCACAACCTCACAGTCACCCGGGGTCAGGTTGTTTCTGGAGTCTGAGAAAAGAATGAGGGCTCTGGCTTCCAGGCAGAGCGGAGCTAGCTTAGGTTTGTGCCCTTTGGAGAGGTGCCAGGAACCTAAACACTGACAACTGAGGCGAGTGGAATTCAGACTTCAGGGGCTTGTTCCCAGCACCACAGCCAGCTGTCCAGACCCGGGCTGTTAGTGAAGGCACGGCTGATCAGGGCTTTCTTGATGTGTCATGCTGCAGTGACCCCATCCCTAGCACTCCTGCTTGCTACTGTTTTGCTAAAGAGATTCTGAATCCTGGAGTTGGTTCCCCTCTGTACTGAAAGGAACCTCATATGTCGGGACCTGTCCTGCCAAAGATGTTCAGCATTTCTGAGTGCCTCGATCCAAGCCTTCCTGCCCACCCAGCCACCAGTCTACCCCTTAGTCCTGCTTAGTGGCCACAGACACATCAGAGTTCAGGACTGGGCAGAACTGGCACATATGGCCCCTGGGAAGCAGAGCCAAAGGGCAGGTTACTTCCCAGAGGCTCCTATACATGTGCAGGTTTCTCAAGTGAGGCCTACAGGGTTTTATTAGATTTAGCCTCAACTGGAAGGATACAAAGAGGGGTTGTCATTTTCCCTGGCCAAATCATAACTGTGGCTCAGTGAAGCTATGAGAATTTCAGCCAACTGGTCCTTAGGGCAAAGACCCTAAAAAGTCTGGAAGCCCAGCTGCTCTTAAACTTTCATTTCTTAAACATGTGCATTAACCTGCTTCTAAAGTTTAAGACCCATAGAACAGTGGTTATAGCATGCAACTGCTAACCAAAAGGTTGGACGTTCAAGCTGCTCTTCATGAGAAAAACTTAGCAGTTGGCTTCCATGATGATTTACAGCCTTGGAAACCCTATGGGGCAGTTCTGCTCTGTTGTGTTGGGTTGCTATGAGTGAGAATCAATTTGAAGGCAGTAGGCTAGGCTTTCAGACGTTTCAGGCAGGACAGTGGTCTTCAAAATTCCAATATGTAGCTTCTGAAGTCCTGCTCCTGGTGACTTTTCACTGACTGCAACCTCTCTGTGGACGTGAAAACAGACTCCTGCCCAGCTGCTCTGCAGGCCAGTATGGAGAGACCCTTCCCCTCCCTGCATCTACCTAAGGGGTCCTTCTCCAGGGTCTGTGTGATAACAGTAAGGCTTGGGGATCCAAAATTGTTTTAGGGGGAAAGAAGAACTTCATGAATGTATGCCCAGAATGATTCTTAGGATTCCACTGGAAGCTCAGATCCTGGTGTGGGCATCTGCTCATCTCAGGGCCAAGCAGCCCACAGCACATGCTCCTGAGAGTGAATGAGCCCAGGGGTGTGGTTGTTTAAGTTCAGATTCTTCTCTGTTTAGGGATTTTAGGAAATTTTGCTATAATTGGTTTCTCTGAAAAAACACTTTTTAAATAAGCCAAATCTTCTCTCCTTTCATCTCTATGACATGCACAGGCTGCTTTGTGCTAACTACCTTAGGAAGCATTTCTCTGAGCTCCCAAGCAAGGACCAAGAGCATCAGAAACCACTAATCTGAACCTCACAGGGGAAACTATTATCTTTTGGCTGAAGAGTTGTTGCTAGTTGCTGGTGAATTGTTGCTAGTTGCTGGTGAATTGGTTTCAATTCATGGTGATCCCATATACAAAGAATGAAATGGTACCCAGTCCCACACCATCTGCAGGATCATTGGTATGTTCAGCCACTAAGAGCTCCTCTTCTAGTACCTGATTGGACAGTGCTCTGTTGCGATCCATAGGGTATTCATCAGCTAACTTGCAAAAGCTTTCTAGGCCGTTCTTCCTAGTCTATCTTCATCTGGAATCTCCACTGAAACCCGTCCACCATGGGCAACCCTGCTGGTATTTGAAACACTGATGGCCTAACTTCCAGCATCAAAGCAACCTGCAAGCCACCACAGTAGGACAGACTGACGGAGGAGTGGTAGCAGAGCAATTAGAGAAAAAAATGTCACTTGGTACTGTACTGAACATTTAGACTTTAGAACAATTACGTTGAGAGATGATATCGTTCTCAAGATATGTTCCCCCCTTTTCCAGTAAGGAGGAGCGCATAATGTGCTGCATCATTGCCCGGTAATTGCTTGATTTAACCTCTTTACTTTGAAAGTCTTTTGTTGGGAAGTTCCATTTCCCAGAGAGTATCCTGATAGGCTGCTTTGAAATAGGGAGACCCTGCTTCTATTACGTGGCTGCCTGTCAAATATGCTCTCCCCCGGTGATGCGGTGGTGGGTGTAAAAGTGATGGTTGAGTCTATGAAATAAGATGGTCATCAAGATAGTGTGTGTGTGCTGCCATCCACATACCCCTGAAGGGCTCCCCCATTCGGTAGTATGTGATAGCCCTGGTTGAGAAGTCTTGGCCTACTGCACAATATTGCTGTCTCCATCTTCATCCACTCACTTCTCTCACACTTATACCCCCAGCTTGAGTCTTTCTCAGACTATTTTTTATAGTCTTGATCTCAACCCAAATCTCTGTACAATGAGTCTATAGCTAGTGGCCAGTAACCAGTGACTTTAAAAAACTAGGATGCTGCAATAACACAGGCCCAAGTGTTTGAGAGCTGTGCCAATTTCAGTAGCCTTCAAACAGATGTTCGGAAGTATGTGGGTTTCTTGAATGCCTTCTTGTCATCCAGTGGGAACTGTCAGCCTCCTAGGTCCTATGTGGTGACACTGACCAAACACCAAATCCTTTTCTGGACTGTCTGAGGATAGCTGGGCATGGGGTAACAATACATTCCACCATCCACCAAACTCCCCTCTTGAATCCTTAAATGGAAGATGCTTGTCCAAGCCTGCATGGGGACTAAGTGGATTCCTTAGACCATGTCTAGGAAGATGCTGATTGGCCCCTTCTTGCACTGATCACCTCCTCTCTCTCACATATACATACACTCTGGGAAAGTTCAGGCATCCTGGTGGAGATACAAGTCACTGATCTGCGTTGGATAATATGTTGTACAATGTTTTGCAATAAAGACATTTAGCCTTAAGACCCTTGAATTGAACTCCAACTGCCAATGCCCCTTCCTTTTCTCCTCTCTCCTCACAGTGTTGCTTAAAAAGGGAGCTCACTGGGGGCACACTCCAGTCCCCAGGACAGCCTCTCCTTTGTCAGTCAGCCATTTTTATTGCTCCACATACTGCCTTCTTGCTCGCTTTAGTAACAATGAACTTCACCAGCTCCTGTGCCATCCAACTGGAGACTTCATGGTCCTCTCAGCACCAACAGCAACTGTCCAACAAAGCACGTGCTTTCTCACTGAAGGTGGCCGTGGTGAGAAAAGTTTCCATTTCCACATCTCCCATAGTTCAAAAGAATTAATGTGAATGTACCTGCAGCTTACGTTTGTTTCAGATGAAGCTTCATTCTCCCGCGAACATTATCAGACTAATTCTGGAACCTCTAGAACTGGATTTGAATACCCTACAAGTGAAGGACTTGGTGGGTGCCTTCCCTGCCTCTCCATTAAACTCTTTTCTTACAACCATTGTTTCTTTCTCAATCTGTGACTTCCAAGGTGTCCAACAGATCCACCATTTGTTCAGTTAGAAGTTTGCTGATCTTTTATCAGGATATGAACTGCTTTTATGTTAAGAGAGATGCAACCCCTTGAATGAATGTATCCTCTTAACATTCAGACACTGTACTTGTGCACTGGTTGGAGA